AATTTCTAAAAAAAAAAAAAAAAAAAAGCCTTTAGCAAATCAGATTTTTAAATGAGAGAATATACAAAATAAAAAGCATTCAGTTATAAATAAAAATAAGAGATTTCAGATTCTGAGAGAATATTATATACAATATAATTTCAATATGAATTACAAATTTTTACTTTTGTAAGGAGTAAACAGTCTTTACTAAATCTTGATTAAGCTCTTTACTAAAGAGATTAAAAGCTATAGGAGAAAAATTAAAGGTAGCCAAAGATTTACCATCAGGATCAGATGGTTCTGCCAGTGAATTCCAAGAATCCATAAAGGAACAGATCATTACTACATAGAAATAGAAGGAAAATTTCTCAAATCAGTCTAGAAGGCTAGTTAACACTTATTACCAAAACAGACAAAGGATGCCACAAAAAAAGACAACTCTGGACCAATCTCACAAATTTTAAAACCCTGAATAAAATAGGAGCAAATGAGTACAATGATATAAGGAAATCTACTAATATAATTTACTAGATTAAGATAACCATTTGATCATTTCTTTAGAAAGAAAAAGTTTAAAGCATTTGATGAAATGCCACAGCATTCCTGACTAAAACAAATTAAAAACTTTATAACTCTTGGAAAGCCAGGAGTAAAATGCATCCACCATAATCTATAGTAAACATCATTCTTGTGGTAAGCCATTAGAAGCAATTTTGTCATGGTTATGAATAAAACAAGAATACCTCCTACCACTGCTACTATTTAATACCATATTCGAGGTATTGGCCAATACACTATGGCAAGAAAAAGAAATGAGAAGTGTAAACACTGGAAAAGAAGAAATAAATGAAACTATTGTTATTTGCAGATGTGATAGTCTATCCAGAATAGGAAAATAAGTCCATGATAAAAACTATTTGAATTGACAAGAGTTTAGGAAATTGGAATATATTCAATATACTAAAATCAGTAAATTTTTTGTAAGCACCAGCAGGGATAGATTAGAAAAGATAATGAATACTATAGAATACTATAAAGCAAAAAAATAAAGAAGTAAAGGACACTATAAAGTATTTAGGGATGCATCTTACAAGATCTGCATGAATAAAAACAAAGCTTCACGGTAATTTAAGTTCTCCATTTAAAAATTCAGATAAGGAGAGTAAAAAGAAGAAAGTAAAAATTACCTCACCACTCAGAAGAAACTTCTGTTAAAATCTAGGGGCTCTATCCTTCCAAATGCACACCAGTAAAAATGTACATGCCATGTTAAGGGAAAAAGAAGACAGTGCTGGTTTTAAAAGCATATCAACAGCTGTGATGAGAAAGTGAGTAGTAAGGTTATAAAACATAGACTCATGAAGAAGGGGCAGCAGTTGAAAATTAGATTTTTGGTGGGCAGGAACATACTGGCAGGAGAGTCCTCAGTCTGGGGAGAAGATTGTGTGGCCATTCTGTTATGTCAACTGATCAGGCAGATTTAGCCCCAGCCAGGAAACGATGCCCCTGGAGAGAGCGCCCCGAGAGTCTTGGTTTCAGTCCATCCTCCCTCCCGTATGCACTTCTTGCCCACTGTCTACTTACCCTCCCTCCCCACCTTATTTTATAACCAGAGCAAAACAAGCCAACAAAAAGATGGGTGAGTAATTTAGTTTGGCTGAAAATGCCTCCGATGTGGGGCCAGAGGTGTTTATCACTGAACCTCCTGTTCTCCTCCTCCCCCAGACCGCCCAGGTTTGCTGAATGTGAAGCCCATTGAGGACATCCAGGACAACCTGCTTCAAGCCTTGGAGCTCCAGCTCAAGCTGAACCACCCCGAGTCCTCTCAGCTCTTTGCCAAGCTGCTCCAGAAAATGACAGACCTCAGACAGATTGTAACAGAACATGTGCAGCTATTGCAAGTCATAAAGAAAACAGAGACAGACATGAGTCTTCACCCGCTCCTACAAGAAATCTACAAGGACTTGTATTAGCAGACAAGTCCGCATTCACTGACAATGTGTTCCTTCTTCCGATTGCACTATTATTTTGAGGGGAAATCTGACACCTAAAAAATTTACTGTGAAAAAGCATTTTAAAAAGAAAAGGTTTTAGAATAATAGATCTATTTTATGCATATTGTTTATAAAGATACATTTACAATTTACTTTTAATATTAAAAATTACCACATTATGAAACTGCTGGTCGTATTTGAAGCCTGAGTCTTATGCATTCCCCTCCCCTACCCCCACCACCAGGCTTTATTTCCTTTCATGTCCGTCCTTCCTTCCCTTCTTCCTTCCTTCCTTCCTTCACTTTTCTTCTTTCCTTCCTTTTTTTTTTTTAAGATTTATTTGAGAGAGAGCATGAGTGGGGGGAAGGGGCAGACAGAGAGGGAGGGAACAGACTCTGTGCCTCAACCTACTGAGCCACCCAGGCACCCCCATTTTCTTCTTTCTTACACATTTTTAAAAATGTGAATGGAACTGCTGGTCAACTTACATTCTCAGTAGATTAATTTTTCACTCAATTCACAACTTTTCTGAACCCTCCATCTGCCTTAACAACCACAACTAAAAAAAGAAGGGAAACCTCAGGACCAAAAACTTTTCAGAGCATGTGTTTCTTACTCTGGATATGCAAGTCTGGGGCACAGCCTTAGGCCTACCAAGAATCCAGTCTTCTTCCCCTGGACCCAGCCAGGATTTTCACTCATCACGAGCAGCCTACTGACGTACTGGCGTACTGACACGTACGTGATATACCCAGTGGCAGGCACTGCTAGAAGCTGTGGGTAACAGAGATGTTGGAAGATTTGGTACCTGCTAAAAAGAAGTTATAGTTGAATTGAGGGGAAAAGATTCATCTTTCTTAAAAACAGATTACAATACTCAGTATAATCATGTGCCCAATAAATGGCTCTAAGTACTATAAGGATTCAAAGGAAGTAAGGATTGATGAAGATTGGAATAGTCGAGTGTGACTCTTAAGTTCACTGAAGTGGGCCTCAGAGGATGTGTTGGATTTGGGATAGGTAGAGGGTAGGAGAAAAGACATTCCAAGAAAGCAAAACAGGAGGAACAAAGCAACAAGAGGAACCAAAACCAAACATGAATGAGGGAGAAGAGCCACGTTCTGGTTCTAATGCACATGGACCAGTTTTGCTAGAATTATTCCTATTGTCCTCCTTGGGACCACCTTGCCCAGAGATCTTTTGCTTTTCTAACCTCAAAGGCTAATTATCTGTATCATTTAGGTGATGCATGGCTCCCCAGCATGCAGATGGTATGTTTCCTAAAAGCGGGGACTTTGTTGGCACATTAATAGGTTCGTTGATTGAAGCCACCAAATTCACTAGCAATTGCTTACCTATGAACTCATGATACTGTGACTTTGAAGGGTACCTTATAAACACACTCTCCTGTGTTCTTTCTCCCCGGCATGGTTATGTCCACTGACCTACATTATTTCCCTGCTGCTTCTCCCTTAGTTTATCTTCCCTTCTAATAAGGCTCTGATACTTAGGAGAACCTAACTTCACATTTGGGGCTTTCAGGCCAAAATATCAGGAAAGACCTTTTCATCCTTTACCCCAAAATAAACATCTCCAAAGGGTCAGTTACAGAAGTGAGTCCTGACCACAGCCCTAAAAATGTAAGATCCCTAACCCTTTAGGAGCCACGACTTCCTAGCTCAAAACTTTAGATACAACCTCAGCATTTTGGGACCAGCGACTGAAGTCGATGTCGAAGTGTTATCAAAACACCGGGAAGAAGAGTAACAAACTCAGTCCATCACATGGCTATTTTTCCCTTGATGTCAAACATCAGGATATTCTGAAACATCTCCATGACTGACTAGAGGCTCCACTACTGTTCCATGTGGAGAGTTTATCATCCGGCAGATCTTGAAGAAAAAAGGAAGAAAAAGAAAAAAAAAAGAACGTGTGAGCAGTAGACGAGGTGAGGATTCCACCTCAGAGGAGATCCCTTGTTTACAAGAGTTCTGAAACAAAAAGTCTTTCAGCACGCTGCCTGCTCTCTGTTCCCACCAGCACCGCGCAGCCGGTCCAAACCCTTTCCACATTCTCGGAGCTGTGGCTGCCAATGCAGGGAGGAAGGGAGACTCTCTCAGCTCTTTGGCACTGATGGTTAGCATTAAATAGCTTTTAAACCCTGGCAGCTTGCAAGTTCCCATCTCTCTGACTTCTTCCCTGTGGTTTGGACTATCATTTGCTAAATATTTTACGACACATCTTCTGCAAGTCTCCAAAGCTCCTGCTCCTTTCTCCGGTCTCCCTTTCCCCCCAGGATGATTCACAATTTAATCAACAAATGTATCATCAGTTATTCATAGTATTTTCTCCGGACATAAACACACTTAGGGATTTGTGTTAATAAAAATAGGAAGAAAAGTAACTTCGGTCAAGAGTCCAAAAAAGGGAGGGGAGGGGGTTTCAAGGCTCCCAAGAGAGCCCTACGCCCAGCACTGCCCTTGAATCTGGCCTGGCTCCCCCCTCCAACACCCCTCCACCCCAGCTCCCTGCTGTCTGTGGAGCACAGGAACAGTGGGGTACCCATGGGAGAGACCATATCTGCACACCCCATTGTTCTCTAGCCACCATCAAAAACTGGGCTGATCTGAGTTTCTGACTTCTCTCTTAAAATCTGGGCGAGGAGCAAGAGGATGGGGGTCTTCGGTGGGAACTCCGCAAGAGTTGGAAAGCACTAGCTGGTGCCACACTGCAAATTCTGATTGATAACCCAAGGGGCAGAAGCCAGGGGGACGGCCACATAAATGCCACTGAAGACAAAAGGGATGAGAGGGAACTAGGCTTCTGTGGTAGGCCTACTTACTTGCTACTGGATTCCAGTGACTTTTCCTCATCTCCCTGGAGGCTACCGAAGGCAAACCCTTTTTGTGGGCAGGCCCTACTTGCTGGATTATCTGCTACTAACTGTGTGGTGCTGGTACAGTGGGCCAAGGGGGAGAGGGGGTTGGAAATTGGCCCCCAGATACCTATTCCCTTAAAAATACCCACTGGCAAGCAGGGGTGGAGGCTTCTAAAGAAAGCCAATTTCAGTTCTAAATCCCAAAAGAACCAAAATTCGTGGCCAGCAGGATCATCCCCATTGCTTTCTCTTTCCTCTTTCCCACCCACTCACTGGAATAGTTTGGGGCTATGAGACAGACCAAGACGGTCTTCACTAGGTAGCCACCTCCGTATTTTTCTCTCTCCTCTCCATGCCCTGGTTCCTGGCCCTGGCTCCTGTTGTCTCTGTTCACATTATTAGCACTATTATTATCTGCCTATCAACCCTCACCATGTGAGTGTACATGGAAGGCCCACCATTTTAATGCTTACTGAGATGAACTAAAATAGCAGGATCTTAGCACGGAGCCTGTCAGATGTCATCTAATCCCACCTCATTTGTTCATCTGCACTCAGCTCCTACTCCAGTCCCCATGACACCATATGAAGAGGCGTGTGACTAGGCCCTGCCCTCAAGGGGCTCATGGTCTGTTGACAAAGTCGATGCATAAATTATAGCTCAGCCAAAGGGACGAATCGCCTAGAGGCGTGAAAAGGATTCACAGGGGATGTGGGTGGAAGCAGAAATATAAAAGCACGTCGTGTGTTCAGAAAAGAGCAGGAAGTTAGGCCTGGTTACCATAGCTGAGGTAGTGAGAAGTGAATTGGCCAAGTCAGCATCAGATTGTAACAAGCCTCACCGTCCATGGTAAGGAGCTACCCTGGACTGTATTCACAAGCAATCGGGATCCAGGGGAAGGGGGACTGGCAGAAGAGGGACAAGATCAAGTTTGCACGTTGGGAAGTCAGCTTTCTACAGGTCAGATTCCCTCTACAAGGCTTCCAACGGCTGCCCAGCCTCTGAACAACTACCTGAAGGGATGCAGCACTCTCTCCCTTTCAAGCCCCTTGGTGATTTCCATCTGGTAGGACAAGCTCTGCTCCCAGGGTCACACATACCACATTCTTGTTCCTGCACCCGAGAGGTCCTGACTCACCTCTTCAGTGAGGTGACAATCTTTTGGCTCAGTCTTCCGGCCAGCTGAAGCACCCTGCCCCCTCCCTACTTGCTGTCCATTCACTACTGCTCCTAGGAGCTGGGACCTCACATCCCCCAAACCCACAACATTCCTCTGCCTTGACGGCAAAGTCACTTCTACCCCCATGTAACAAAACTTTCATGCCCTACACTCATTTCCAGACAAGCCCTGCATTTGTCATAGAATTCCAGAAAATTCGAGCTCAAAGGAGCTAACCCATTCAAATGACAGATGAGAAGCCTGAGGATGAAAGAAGTAATATGCCCAAGGCCCTAGGCATCTACTAGGATTAATTTATTCAAAGGTGGTGTATTTCACACGTACTCTTACCAACCCTGGCACAGCCACTAGCGGGGTCAGCAGTTTAACAAGAGAACCTCAAAGTACATGACAGACTTGAAGCTAGTGCGAGTCTCTGCACTGGGGAGCAAGGAAAAAGGATGGGGCAAAGTTCTTAGAGGGATTATTGTGATGGTCAAAAGGTTATTATGTGAGTCACTCAGGACTGTGTCCGGCACATAGTATGCAGACCTGTTATGGAAGACAATATCTTAGTTTGGACTTTAGAGATACACAGGTTTGGGTTAAAATTCTAACTCCACCACTACTTGTCCTATAACCATATGACTTTTGGTCAATCTCTTAACCACTCTAGGCCTTAATCACCCTCATATGAAAAATGGGACAATAATACCCATCTTACAGGTAATCTTGAGGATTAAACGTAATAGTGGCTATAAAACACTTCACACCACTCCTTGGCACATCTTTACTGTCAGTCTGTGTTGGCTACAGATAACATTATGGCCATTGTTATTATTAAAGTGCCCTTCATTCAAGAAGGCATCCTGGGCTCATAGAACAGGCTCTTCCTGTTCAAGTATTCTAGGCCTTACCTGAATAGATTGAAAGCCAGGTAAAAGGGATTGGATTTCAACATTTGGCAGTACAGTAAAAAAGTTCTCTTAAAAGTATTTTGCTTCCAGTCCATACACACTAGGGGAAAATAATTATTTGAAAGACAACTGCTGTGTTCTGATTTAGAAAAAATGCCAGGATGAGGCTAAGAAAACATTTTCTCCAAAGTAGTGGGACTTTTCTCTTGTGACTTATGCTCCTAA